ATGTCATGCTAAAGCCTATTTTATGAATAAATAAAGAATGATTGCATGTGCATGTTTGATGCGGAAGTATCAATATAAAGGGACTCTTTTGAGCTAATGGTAAAGTGTTCGTTAGAACCAAATGGTAAATATGACCAAATAATTATGTACCTGATCAGTACAAATGATACTTCCGAGACGGGTGATTAATATTATATTATTATGATATCATATCTTTATATTATATGGATTTGAGGTACCAATTGAATCATAATTGCTTAAAGAGAAAGGAATACAAGTTTATGCAAAGAAAGAGAACTTGAAGGTTGACTTAGAGGCATGTTTATGTTAGATGCTATGTTATGACGTGTTGAATGTTTATTTATTGAGAAGTTGATGCATGTTGTACTTATTTTCTTGTTATTAAATTTAATTGAATGTTCTTTTATCTACTGAGTTGTGACTCACCCTACTTATAACACACTTTTTAGGAGAACCCGATAAAAGATAATAGCGAATAAATCTACCTTTACGTACCATCGTAGAGAGACGACAGACGACAGTTTTTTCTTTTTCTTTTTTGATATTTTGAGATAGGACTCATGATGAATTGTAAGGAAAGATTTTTTGATATCTTTTATGTTTTGAACATCAATATTTTAATGTTGATATGTTGAATGATGGATGAATAGAAAGAAAGAAAAGAAAATTTTCACTTGACTTTTTATATAGTGGCTCTTTCTTTATGCATTGGAGATGTTTTGATATTATAATGTAAAGGTTTTAATTTCTTCTGTCCGACCTCCGTTCCTACCTCGCCAATGCGAGCTTACCGGGCATAGGCGAGGCGGGAACGGAGATCGGATAGTAGAAATTAAAAACATTCACATTACAATATCAAAACATCTTCAATGCATAAAGAAAAAAATACTATTTAAAAAGCAAGTAAAAATTTTCTTTCTTTTTATTCATCTATCATTCAAAATATCAACATTAAAACATAGATGTTCAAAACATAAAAAGATATCCAGAAATATTTCCTTACAATTTATCCCGAGTCATTCTAACTCAAAATATCATAAATCAAAAAGAAAGAATTTATCGTCCGTCGTCTCCCTACGATGGTACGTAAATGGTATCCGCCATTATTTTTTATTGGGTTCTCCTAAAAAGTGTCCCATAAAAAGGGTGAGTCATAACTCAGTAGGTAAAATGACATTAAATTAAATTTAGAGGTAAGAAAAGAACTACAACATGCATATACTTCTCAATAAATAAATATTCAACATGTCATAACATATTATCTAAAGTGAACATGCCTCTAAGTCAATCTTTAAGTTCTCTTTCTTTGCATAAACTTGCAATCCTTTCTCCTTAAGCATTAATGACTCATTTGGTGCCTCAAATGCATATAATATAAATATATGATATCATAATAATATAATATTAATCACCCGTATCGAAAGTATCATTTATATTGATTAGGTACATAATTATTTGACAACATTTATCATTTGGTTATAATGAACCATTTTACCATTTGGCTCATAAAAGCTTCTTTACCATTAGCTCAAAAAAGCCCCTTTACCATTGATACTTCCGCATCTAACATGCACATGCAATCATTCCTTATTTATTCCTAAAAGAGCTTTTAGAATGACATTCATGTATATGTTCTCATATGGAGTTACATGTTTACTACTTACATGAAAAAAGAGAGATGCTCATATATATGTTGCATGTAGAAGAAAGCATATGACATATGTAATACTTGTAAATAATGAAATATGAGCTTTACCAATTTCTACTATCAATACATAAAAAATTTGTTTTTGTGTCATGTGATCATGAGCATTTATGTAAAATCATGCTAGTCATAAATGAAATTACAAGTAGCATAAAAAGAAATATCATTTCTACATGTTTGTATTTAGAGAATTTTCTAAATTTAAAAGAATTTCATTTTAACTATCTCACAACGGTGATTCGCCAAAAGTATTAACGAACCATTCCCTTTACGTGATCGATATCTACAAGATACCTAACATAACGTGTAAATACTATTTGTTCTCTCATAAACTTATAAAAATCCTAATTTATGAATAAGAAATTCATCCATATACTATGTTTAGACTTTCTAATTAACCCTTTTCCCAATTCATGATAAATACCATTTTTATTTCCTCTAAATTGGGACTTAATCATAAATCTAATTTTTTTTGGAAACCTTCTTCAATTCCTTTTCTTACCACATGCATAAAAATCCTCTCTTACACTTAACATAAATTAACATACAATAAATTTTCAGATTTACCTAATTAAAAGTTGGAAAAATAACATTTTATGCTAAAGTTCTAATTTTTGCTTTTTAAAAACCTTATTTAGTCCATTAGGAACCAATACACTTAAAAGTTTTCATGGTTTTGGAAAGTCCTAATCTTAGAACATGAAAATTTCTTCATAAAATTTAACTAACTTCACAAAAAAAGCTTTATAACGTCATTAGAAAACTTTACTACAAAACCATTTTGAAAGAATATAAAAATCGGAGAAAACCTAATTTTTAAAATCTATATCTTTCAAGAAATCATCTCATTTTTGTGTTTAGAAACATCCTCTAAGCCTTCCCTATCTTTATCTTACAGAGAGATTTTGAGTTTTCATAAAACCCTAGGTTTCTTTCTTGAGAAAACCTTAAGGAAAATCACGAGAAAAAGTTTATAAGAACTCACCTTACCTTTCCTACGATTTGCCTTCAATCTTTTTCACAAATCGCCGTCGGAAACCGCCCCTAAGACCGCCATCGCCGCTCCTCCCCTCGCCTCTTCTCTCCCTCTTCCATTCGGTTCGGGCCGCACGAGAGGAATGGGGACTGAAATATTTCAGTCCCCTAATAAGAGTGAATGTCTCTCCCTAATTGCACAAAGTCTAAAATGCCCTCACTTAAGTTATCTCCACTTAAATGACATCAAGGGCAATCTTGTCATATAAAAACTTATACGAATTTTAACTTCCAAAACACGCGAAATTCTATATGGGTTCTTTATACCGATTCGCTCAGAATTTTGCGTACTATTTTATAAAATTTAATGCGTCGAATTCTGACGACTTTGAAATTTTACTTAATCTTGTAACGGCGCATCGAAATGCATGCGACGCTGAAGATCGTTACTTTTCGGGTTTTACATCTACAAGTTTAGAAACTTGAATTGGCTCATTATCATAAGCAGGTTCTCGAGGTTAGGAAGAAAATTCTAAATATAATTTTAATCCGGGTCTTCTAGGCTCTGAATAGCAAAGTAGACTCCCTAGCCATTTTGTCTTAAGAAATGACTAGTATGAATGATGAGTATGTGTTGCTTGGCTTCATGCTTCCATATAAATGTTCTATTGACTCTACTGTTGCATAAAAACAATATGTACACAATAGATAACAACATGCTTTTCTTTTCAAAACATTGTTAATTAGAAAAACATTTATCTAATCCTATAGTACTACATGATAAGCTTAAAAATTTGCATGAGGTCGTTCATACCTAACTGTTTGATTGTAATGCATAATAGATAAAAGTTACTTTACTGTCTTTTTACCCTTCAGTTTTGATGGCATGCAGCTATACAAGTCGAAAAATAATCACATTTATTTGATTAAATTAAATTGCATTTCTTACTCCCTTTCCTAGTTGCCTTCTCAAATTCAGCACTTCGTAGCCTTTTTCGCTTGTAAAGTACCTACACAATCAACCTCTCCTCTCATATAATTTCTATAATTCATTTTCCAAGAAATTTAATACAATCATTTCATCCCCTTTAACAACTTATCTCGCAACCAGATTCTCCTTTCTTCATATACCCAATAAAATTATCCTAACAGTGCGATTGTGGTATAAGTTACCTTAGCAGCACTATCAATATTTAAATGTTCACAACACAACATAAGTTAATAATATAAGTGCTTACATTTATTCCCTCAAACTTTTTCCTCATTCTCCTCTTATTCCTCTCCTTATTACTTCTCTGCAATTTACTCCAAATATTTCCTCCTACAGCAGCCAAATTCCCTGCCCCCAACCTATTCTTGCATCCGCTCCACAGGACCCGCAAGCAGAAAACAGAAATTTCGGCTCAGGAAATCAAATGGGGAATACAGTCACGATAATGCTTTTATATTACAGCTCACATACTTCCCAGCCGCCAGATTTCCCATCCAAGGTTGCATGCCTATACTAGTGGATAGTATAGGATTATTATAATAGTTATTGTACTCAGTTAGTGTTGTGCTACAGTAGCTTAATTGGCTAATATAAATACTAAATTAGTGGGCTTAATTTACTAACCCCTTAGATCGACTATTCATGATATAATTAGTATAATAATTAACATAACTTTAGTTTAACATTTTTAATTAATTGCAAAGAATAAACTCAACATTAATCGCTAATATAAAATTTATTTAACTGATAATTAATGCGATAATTTTTTGAACCTATTTGTGAAATTTACTATTTCAGGATAGAAAACAAAATTTGTACTTTTATTTGAAACTTTTATAATAATTAAATCTCTTTCACTAAATAATTCACTACCAATTGTAATTAAAATATTCCTAAACAATTCTCCTTTGATTAAGAACATTCCTAAATAGCTCTTGATTAGAAAACTTCTTAATTCCCGCCCAATCAAATCATCCTGTCCATCATCTTTGCTTCCAACTTAAAGTGTTTCGTTTGATTTCGTTTGATTTTGACCAACACCATTTTCCCAGTATCCATTCTCCTGATTCACTCATTGCCCCACCCTTTTCTTTACTTTATTTGTTGGATTGCTGTCCAGGCCTTGGATAATTATTGTATTTAGTAGAATCTTTTTGTAAAACTTGAGATTGCTAAATGTCATTTTATTGGATCTTAAACATGCTGAGGCTCCTGCAACATACTTCTGCTTCGCAACTACTGATTTTTGGACAAATTATGTTTTCTATATTATTGATACCAACAAACATTTTGAATTCTCTCATTCAGGTGAAAAACGTTGCATTTACTGGGGTGTTTCGCTTGATATTTAAGCCTTTGGTGGATGTTTTACCCTGCTTTGGAGCCGTGTCGTATTCTTTGAGGGAGAAGGTGTTGCACTTTGGTACATGAGATCTACATTTTTATGCATTGTTACTTGGATACAACAGCCACTTTCAAAGTTGTATTTTTTCTACAGAAAAGGCTGGATTACACTTTGAAGATTGGAGGTGAATTAACATCTATCCCTGGAGTATCTGATGCCATTGAGGTTTAAGGATTCTTTAACATATTAACTGCGCTGTTTTCATTAGCAAATTGTGATCCTTACATGTTTTCGTTTGTTCATTTTTAGGATACTATACGTGATTCTATTGAAGATTCAATAACTTGGCCTGTAAGGAAAATATATCCAGTAATACCTGGAGACTACAGGTATATGGACGGTACATTTCTATTTTGTTTTGTTAAATGTTATGGCTATAATTTCCATTTTATTCATTTGCACAATGGTTGCCTTTTTGTGAAGTGATCTAGAATTGAAACCAGTTGGAACATTGGAAGTAAAGCTTGTGCAAGCAAAAAATTTGACAAACAAAGATCTCATAGGGAAATCTGATCCATTTGCCAAATTGTACATACGCCCTTTACGTGACAGAATTAAGAGGAGCAAAACAATTGTAAGTATGATGCTTTTTAAGGTAGTACCAAGTTAATATCCTTTCCCCCATAATTTGTTTATATTGTTTTTTGCTTACCTGCAGAACAATGATTTAAATCCTATTTGGAATGAACATTTTGAATTTGTCGTCGAAGATCCAACTACTCAGCAGTTAACGGTGAAGATTTACGATGATGAAGGGGTCCAGGCATCTGAATATATAGGTGGTGTGATAGTCAAGCTAAAGGACCTTCAACCTGGAAAAGTGAAAGATGTTTGGCTGAAGCTTTTAAAAGATTTAGAAATTCAAAGAGATAGGAAAGATAGGGGTCAGGTTAGTTTCTGAATTACAAATTGTGTTTTTCCTTTTTTATTTGTTTTCCTTTCGAAACATAAAAGTTTATGATGGTAATAGAATAGAAGGGATAAATGTAAGATTATATTCAGAAGTTTATGATTTACGATTGCTTTATCTCATGTTTTTAATTAATTTAATGATTTAATTTGAGGTATGTGCATCAAAACGCCTCGAGGCTTATAGGATACATTTTCCCATGCAAAAAAAAAAAAAATCAAACATCAAATCACTACAAGATACCTTTTCTTAGAAGCATTTGAAGGAATCATGCATCCATACCTTTTCTTAGAAGCATTTGAAGGAATCATGCATCCAACTTGCACCTATAAAGTTGAAACTACAAAGAGAAATTTTATTCAAACCAAAGTTTCCAATTACGTGCTTCCGAACAACTATTTATGGACTTCTTATAACCTAGGCTAGTAAAGATTGTCATAAAAATCAGCTTAATCCAAGTTTAAATAATCCCAAAAATATTAATCCATTCAGATTTTAATTTCAAATGTTAAATTCATCAGCCAAACCTTGCTAGATGTTATAAGTTATAACAAATCATAAACCGACGCATAGCACTCATTCAGTTGCTGCAAAAGAAGCCATAATTTCACAATTTCCAAATTTCATGTCCACATAAACCATAGCTCCATATAAATTAAATTCAAACCCATGCAAACACGGGCATGAGAGGAAATTACTGCAACTCCAGAACTTCTTACTTAAAAGTAGCAAATGAAAGCATCCAATGATCTTCATTGCTTAACAAATCCAGTTAGTTCCTAACCCAAAGCTGAACGACAACAACAACATCAAGCCTTTGTCCCACTACGTGGGGTCGGCTACATGAATCCTTTTTCGCCATTGTGTTATGTTAAAAGTAAAATTCTCATCTAATAAAGAAAGATCATTTCTAATATTTTTCTAACCATAAATTTAATATCCACTGCCCAAGTCCTGCATCACACAGGCTGTGTGCACTTGCATGTGCCATGGGTAATTCTTTGTTTATGTTTCCAAGCTATCTTTTTAATACTGTCATCTTTGCTTATCCTGAAATCTGATATTCTTGTACCATCACACCATAGGTGCACCTAGAGCTTTTGTATTGTCCTTATGGAATGGAGAATGAAATGATGAATCCTTTTGCTACTCAAAAATTCTCTATGACCTCCTTGGAGAAGGCTCTCAAAAGTGGCGCGAATGGAAGTGAGGTTGTTGATACATCAAGTTACAAAAAAAAGGATGTAATTGTAAGAGGAGTGCTATCTGTGACAGTTATATCTGCAGAAGACTTGCCTGCAATGGATGTATTGGGAAAGGCAGATCCTTTTGTTGTTTTGACTATGAAGAAAACAGACGCTAAAAACAAAACCCGGGTAACTTATTCTAGTCTCAGGATTTTTTTTCTTTTTTTGAAGTTTTGTTTGTCAATTTACGTAGCAGTGACTATCTGCAGGTCGTGAATAATAGCTTGAATCCAACCTGGAACCAGACTTTTGACTTTGTAGTGGAAGATGGGCTGCATGATATGCTAATTTTGGAGGTATATGACCACGATACTTTTGGAAAGGTGTGTTTTCATAACCGCAAAAAGTTTCTATTTATAATTTTTTTTTTCTTTTTTAAGTTTTCTATTTATGAGCCGTAAAGTTTTAACATAATATTCTTGATGAAGAATTTAGGAAACTATAGTTACCATTGGTGCCTTCTCGTTTTTATGTAATCAACATTTGCTTCTTTTCTGTTTTATTCTTTTTATTGATTTTTTAGTTCTTCAAAATACATGCAACATATAGGCTTTTGTTTGGAAGGGCCATCTTTCTGCTTCCTAAAGAAGCTTTTTAGTATAAAAATTAAAAAAATTTTATTAGAAAGCTGCTTTAAGAAGCAAAAAAAAAACTGTCCCAAACAACATCATAGTCTATTGATCTTATTTATTATTGATAATCAAACATTCTTTATATATATATATATATATAATTCTAAAAACATGAGGAATCTCCTAGTCTGGATTTGATTAAATAAAATTATATTTGCAATGATGAGAATAAACAAAAGTAGATGATCCCTTTTAAGATAAAACTAACGGGAAACCATCAGAAAATTTGATTCCCAGTGATCTGAGCCACCAAAAGATTTGATTTCCAATGATTTGTAGATCCAGTGGACCAAATAGAGGGGTGCATTGAGATGCAACTAGGAGGCAGGAGCACCCTTATGTTGCTTATTCATTGCTCTGCATATACATTTCCGTTCTCCATGCAATTCTGAAATTCTAAGAGCCACGAACTCAATTATTTAGATCATCCATAGTAGGTAGGACTTCTGATGATTAGCTGTCAAGCATGGAAGGCTCAAAGGGCTATAAAGTCTCCACATTTACAATTGAACACATTTCCATGTATGGAGGCTTTAACTTCTCCTTTAAGGTTATCTTTGTTCAAATGTAACCACTCAAGAAAACATATTTGGAAGTTGGTCTTGGGACGATGATAACATGCCTTTCTTTGTATTTTTTTGGATTTTTTTGTTGCTTCTCCACTATGAATTTTGCAGATGCTCTCTAGAAGCTCTAAGCTATTTTTTTTAGCAACTTCAACCCTACCTTCAGTAGTGAGAAAGATAGAGATTTGAAGATTAAAGATGGCTTTGTGGTATACCAAACAAACTTTAAATGGTGCCTTCATTAGGAAGTGCATAGCTCTGTTAAAGGCGATTGAAGGTTTTTAGCTGGTCTCCTTGCCTTCAATAGATTAGAGTAGTCATTTAAAAAAAAAATTGTCAATGACCACATAGAGTTGATCAATATAAGGCTTGGTACGCGCAACGGCGTGTACAATTCCAACTTCTTATTTATAGATTTGGAGGTGCCATAAACCTTGCGCGCTCAGATGTACTTTACGTCCCGCTGCATATTTGTCGAGTAAATAAATGTCTTTCTCCTCTTGAAATTGCTCATCACTTTTGGTTGTGTGCCTCCTGCAGTCTTGTAACCATATTCCTATAAATAGGAATCCATAAATATTTAGTTATTGATTGATATTAAATGATTGAAATTATTTGTGATCAATTGAGTGCCTCTAGATTCAAGTACAAGAAATCATGTTACTCAAGGTTTGTTTTGTATTAAGAATGCTATTTCTTCAGGCTGCCATTTTCTAGTTTTCCAAGTTCCTTGAAATTTATTCACTTATCATAATTCTGTGTTAAGGAAATAAGAATTTTGAATACTATTGAAGTTGCAAATCAAAAATTTCTGACTAACATCATTTGGCCATTATTAGGATTTCATTGGGAGGTGCATTATGACCCTAACAAGGGCTTTGATGGAAGGGGAATACCAAGAGAGTATTCAACTGGAAGAGGCCAAGTCTGGAAGGCTCAATGTGCATCTCAAGTGGACACCACAGCCAATATATCGTGATTCATAAAGATTTGGATGGCAGATTTACACTGATTGTAACATAATATCGATATTGTTTCATCGTGTTATTGTAAATCCCGGAATAAAATGGGAATGAGAAATTGTTTGGGGATTATGTGGAAGAACTTCAATTTTTAGATAATTGTGTGGAATGTAGATAATCATCATCAGTCTTATAACTAGTCTATTTCAATTATTTGAGAATTAGAACGTTGAATTCACTCCTGCTGCGTGAACTTCAAATTTTTTACTATTTTATGAATTTTGGCAGTTTTTTTCACTTAGTTATTGACCAAAATCATTATTGAGAATTGTATCAATAAGGCTTCATTTGGAATGATTTTCTTCCTGTTTCTTAAAATATATATATATATATTTTTGAGTTTTTATTAAGAAGTTGATTTAAGTAACAGTAAAAAATCATCCCAAATAAAGTGTAAGAGTGAATTATGTCTTGCAATGCTTTATGGTACCGAATGTTGGCAATTAAAACAAAAGCATAATACTAAGTGTTGCATATGAGGATGCTCAGGTGGATGAGTAGCTTTACCTTTAGAGGCATGATACGAAATGGGCATATGCGCAAAAAGGTTTGAATCGCTCCAATGAAAATGATTTGATTATATTAAACAGAAGCCTTTGATGACTCGATTAGGAAGGTTGAGGTATTAGATTTGACTTATGTTAAAATAGGTAGAGATAGACATAAAAAGATTTGGTTAGAAAATATTAGAAATGATCTTTCTTTATTAAATTTAAATCAGAATTTGACTTTTAACAGAATAATTATGAAAAAGGATTCATGTAGCCGATCCCATGTAGTGGGACAGACTTGATGTTGTTGTTGTTATAATGTTCATTTATAAATTCTTTCAAACAAATTAATAGGAAATCTTCAAGCAGCAAGAAGAGATGAAGTACGTTTATGTTTTTATTCTCATTTTAATCATCAGAATGCAGCAAAGATGAATAATGGCCTTGTATATACGTGCAGTGCACAGCAACACAAAAAATTTATGACCAAATAGATTTGATTAGAGGTCAAGAATAGAAATTTAATTTTCTGTAATGATATAAAAACCTGTCTCATTAGAAAAATATAAACATTATTATCTCAACACTTGCTAGATGCTAGAACTACGTATACGACTGGTGAAATAAATGGATGTTTTATTTCTAAGATAAATGAACATCAGGGTAGAAATATTTTTAAAAATAGTACAAAAACCTGATCTTCCTTATTTAGTAATCTTTGCACCAGTTTGCAACTACACAATAACTTTGGCTTAATATGTTGCAATGAAGTTGATCTGACGGTTTGGTTGTTTTTTCTTCAATCTCCTTCTTGTGTTGCTTGCCCTGCATTTGTGTTTATGATCATTAAACAGATTAACAGTTTATAGATCAAACTGAATAAGCCACAATAGCTAGTGAGGTGATAGGAACTATCACTTGAAGATCTTAAGTAATTCCTATCGATCTTTAAAAAAACAGCAAAAATCTTTCACAAGAATTTGTATTATTTGATGAAATAGAAACGGAAACTAGTAAGATATAGTTGATCCTCAATTTGAGAGGAGGATCAATCTCTCCCAACTCTCTAGACACTGCTAGAGCCCAAAAGAAAACCTAAATCTAAGATATCTAATTTTTCAACCAAATTCAAGATGCCCTAACCCTAGTAAAACAAACAATTTAATGCATACAATTCAAAAGGAAATTTCTAAACAGTCCCTACATTCAATTTCCCTCCTAAACTTTCTCAAAAATCCTTCCTAAATCAGCCCGGTGGAGGTTAGCGGTCCGCTCGGTCTCCGTGCGAAAGGCAGAACCTCGGTTTCTATTCGCCTGGGCCAGTCCCGTGTGGACCGGCTGAACCGGTCTAACATGAGGCCAGCAAAATTTTTTTTCTCTGAAAGCAATGGTTTAAAAATTTGAAGGCAACAGCTAGTTCAACCGAGTGCCGATAACTTTTCTAGTTTCTGTGCTCGTAGATGCTGAAATTCATCTTAAAATTACGTACTATGGAGTCTTCATTAAGCTCTTACACAATAGCTAGTGAAGGACCATGGCTGTTCTACTAATTTTGGTTATGTATTCCACTGCTTTATATGATTAAGATAATATTGTTCATTATGATCTACAATATCATAATTACTTTCGGGCTGTTTTATCAAATTTTCATGATAAATATTCATCAAGGTTATTAAAAAAACAAAGATAATCAAACGACATATAGAAGCTTATGCCGGGAACATTGAAAATTTATTATTTTTAAATCCCAGTTTATGATTTACTGAATAGTTTTCATCATTTTTTAAGTTCCTGTTATATATCCTTAAATGTCAAAATTTGTAAGCGGGTTGCTATTTGGTATAGAGATCATTATAGACACACTGTTTATAATATATTGTCGTTTGTCAATGTTAATTCTAAGTTCATATGAAAAAGGTTCAAGAAATTTCTAAAATTTGTTGATTTGTGCCTCCACTAAGAATAATTATTGGCTCCTTCCTACTATTGAAGCCCTCTTTAAAATCTAATTTTACCCATATAGTTCACTAATTAAAATTGTCTAATAAGTACAATATATCATCAACCATCAATGTATTTAATTCAAAGCCATTTAAAAATCTTGAAATAGCAATTTTCTACGTGAGTATTAAGAAGATTTTGATACATGAGATTAATCATCAAATGATAAAGCTCCTAAATTTGTGCATACCACTAGTTTCTAATGATTTTAAAGATAATGAAGTCTTGATCTTACATTTGGTGCCATGACATTGAAATATATATATAAGCAAAAGTGTAGTGGGTACACTGTTTATGGAGATCGAGATGTTTGGGGTTTTTTTTTTGTTTGTTTGGGGTTTTGGTTGACAATTCAAAGAGAGAGAAATCTATCTCACTAAAATATATGATGGGGGAGAGAAACAGATCAGGGTTGATGGTGATGGGGATTGAAAGGGACAACAATCCTAACATCCTTAATCCCGCATTGACTAAACTTCTTATTTATTGAGGTTGACCCAGTCCAGCCATCCAAACTAACACTGGAAGCAGTTAAATCATCAATCAAGTTTTTGAAATCATTCCTAACAGGAACCTGAAAATTCTTAAAGATGCTATTAATTACCAAAACCAAGATACAAGTGGGAGAAGCTGATTACAGTTGTATTGCTGGAACAAAAAAATTGAATGCATTAAGTTTAAGGCACCCGTGAGGAAACCAACGCAGCACATGTATGCCGAAGTTCAACGTAGAAAATTAATAAGATATCAAAAATAAATTAGCCAGAAGAGGAGCTGACATCGAATGTGGATTTTAATAAGGGTAGAATTGCAGTGTTGATATGCATATACTAACAATGGTATGCTTACCAGTACTGGTTGTGAAAGACAACATGATCTGTAGGCACAGATTTGCCATCATCATTTCGAATCCAGTTGTAGAATGCATGAGTCCTGTTCTTCAACTCCAAAACTGAATGACCATAGCTGGCCTCCCTAAAAGCTGAATATTCTGGCTGTGGCTCAAGAAACCTATCAAATTGGAAAATCTAAGAAATCAATACTCTTGTAAGAAAATAATAAATGGGAATTTATAATCATACTAAGTCTTTGCTTGGGGCTACTCTCTTATCGCTTCTTAAAAGAGCTTTATAGTACAAAAATTTTAATTTTTATTCTCGAAAGCTGCTTTAAGAAGCAGTAAAAAAGCCGTCCCAAATGAAGCCTAAGCTATTGTATTTGAGACACCTCGAAGCAAGCCCTTCTTGGTTTCCTCCATCGCCAACAGTTATGTACACAGGAGCTGACTTGTCCGGCACAGGATAGCGGTTTCCAGATGTAATGTTGTAGTTGATATTAGAAACTCGATACTGCAAAGAAACAGCTTATAATGAGATAGTAAATTAAAGCCAACATGATATGGATTGATAAGTAGTCATGCTAAACAAATAAAGCTAATCCCTGGATCATAGTGTGTTATTTGATTTGTCAAACAAAATGACAAGAAAAACTTTCTTTCACCATTTTCAGATAGCCATCCTATGATCAGCTTGAGATATTTGCTAGATAAGCTGATACGAGCCCACATATTATTACTTTTATCACTACGATGAAACGTACTAAAATGAAAGTTTATATTATAACCACATCATTGACAGATTTTTTAGTATCTTAACGAACTATGTAGTTCACTGCTTATTAAGTCGGCATTTTATAGCTCAACATTTGGTAAATTTGACGCTATATGTTTGGGACCATCGTCCATAAATAATGGATGCTCCTACTTGCTCTTTAAGGATTCATTTGGTAGCAAGATTTTTTAAAAATGAATTCATTGTGTAGTAATTTTAACTAAAATCAAATTTTGTTGGGTTTGACTTTGAATTGGATAATACAGATTCTTGGTTATTTTTGTCCAATTTAATAACCGGATATCAATTTAGTGGTGGTTCAATACTTCTATACGAATTGAGGATTTTCTGTGTTTTTTTCTATTGTTTTGTAATTTTGAAAATTTATTGTAAGTCACCCTCCAATTTTTCACTAGTGTTCGTGTGTGTGCATGCATGCATTCAACAGAAATCAAATATTTGTTTAATCTCATGTCATTTCATGAGAAGAAAATACAACAACAACATTATCAAACCTTTATCCCACTACATGAAGTTGACAACATAAATCATTTTTCTCCATTGTGTCGAGTTAAGAGTTAAATTCTCATTCAAATCTAATACACAAAAGTTATTTCTACTACTTTCCAACTACATTTCTTAAAATGAGAAGCAAATAAGGCTTCAATGTTTCAAGCCAAATTTTCTTTGATTAACTACTTATTTACGCCAAGTCTTAGGAGAAATAGTGGAATGTACTTGTTTCCATTTGCAGTGTATTCTTGTCCAAAGACATGTCCAGCAGCTCATGATTCCTTGAGAGCAAAGATGATAAAAAATATTATAAGAAAAATAAAGTTATACATAAATATTTTTGTTCCAAAACCCTTATAGTAGCTCATTATTATCATCTCATGTGCCATGTAAGTTCTAGCTGAAAATTCTTATAATATAAATATTATTTTAAGAATTTGTTAACAATGCAAATTTATGGACAAAAATTCACATTTTGTCCTTCACAAAACCTCAGATAAATCAATCCCGGCCTAGACTAGCTGTAATTTATACCTCAACCCTGAGGTTGTGTATCATCCCACATACATCAAGGTCCATCAGTATTTTGTTGAAGTGCAAACGCTATTTAAAATATAAATATTTATGCAAACAAAGATTCTTCAAATTTCTTTCATTGATATTGTACCAATCGATAATTTTGATTAACTTACAAGAAGTTCCATCATTTTCCATTTTTTCCTGTCTTCAAATGTTTTGGTAACCCATCAAAGATGGTGCTAGCATCATAAATATGCTCAACGGTCATGAATATTTAAAAACATAAGATCACATTTAGATATTTAGATTTGATGGTCTACTTGTGAATATATTAGATAAATTAAACAGCACTAAGGCGGAAAATAATAATGCATTGGACCAAAGCCTACCGATCTTTCATAAGCATGAACGTGGCCTGCGAAGACCATATCAACTTTGTAGTGAACAAGCCCTCTCTCAAAAGCAGCTCGCATGCTTTCACCCTCCATGTAATGTACACCATTGCTGTTGTATATTGGGGCATGCATAAGAACAATCAGCCATGGAGTTTTCTCTCTGTCCACTTGCTTAAGTTCCTCCCGTAACCATAACCATTGAGGAGTGTATTTTACTGGTTAAAATTTACATATCTTGATTTCAGTACTTACATGGACAAGGAAAAGTTCAATCAACAAAAAGAAGTAAAGTTTTGTTACTAAAGTTCTAACAAATGGCAGGTTTTTTACCAGAACTAAAAGGATTTATCATAGACGTGTATAACCGTAAAAATGGTGCTGCATCTTTATACATATCAAATCAGTCCACAAAATTCTAAGTGATCAGAGAGCAGTCATAATAAGTGAAAATATATCATAACAAATTGGAATTGGGCCACTTTCAAGCCTTTTTTGGCCCATGTTTAATTATGGCCGAATTTATCATAATTTTCAAATTAGAATTACTTTGTTAAGTTGTTATGTTATCCTGGATAATAATAATTTTTAAGCTTAAATGTTTGTTAGGATTATATAAGATTAGCATTGCATTTAATGTTTGGCATCATCCTTGTATCCCTATTTCTACAAATAGGAATCCATAATGTGTAATTGAATTATTACTGACTGGTGATCAAATGAAAGAAATTATTTATACCTAATTGAGTGTTCCTTAAATATCACATGTCACATGTGCACCACAAATTACACAAGCCCTAATCCCACAATTTCCACATATGCGTCGGCCTCACAGTCCTCTCCGCTTGCAAACCATCAATGTACATGGCTTCTTGAATGCTTTAGCTTGTGATCCTGTGTAGCACCCATGCCCCACATTAAAAAAAAATGCAAATCCAGTCTTCCTTTTGCCCGCTACGTCACCCAACCTCCATGTTGCATCCAGTTTATCATGTTTGGTAGAAGATTTATGAAAGCACGATTATCTTGGATGCACATTAGAAGAATTTTTTATGCTTGAGATTTCGAATCAATATCCTCTTGAGGTTGCAACCAAGGTTGTCCTTCAGTCCTTATCTGTTTCCCACGAAATTGGTGCAATTTGATTGTTGAGAGAAGTTGCATAAGACGATGTCAATTCTTGTGCGGTTGCCATCAAACTTGAAATACTTCTCTCAGAATTGATAAAATGATTCATGGTAAAGGGTTTGCCTTGCTACAACCATGATTAAAGCGTGACATGAAAGACCTTTTGAGAAATAACAAAGGTTGTCCTCCAATTAAGAATCGTTCTACAAACGACACCAAACTGTTATGTGCCCGAACATTCGTGCCAGTAGAGAGATATAGAGCTTAACGTATTAGTTTTGCACGAATGTTCAGCATACACAAATAAGAAAGGAATGTACGAATCAATAAGAATCCAATTTTTTTTACGTGAAAAACCCATGAAAGAGAAAAACCACAGGACTTAGTCAAATTGAAATTATTATACTAGTATTTGTCATTGATTATAAAGGACACCCTTCCTTGAGAGAAGACATTAATACAATACAAAGAACATAGTATGTGGTTGAAATTAGAAGAGTCATTTGACAAAATCCAACATAAACGAAGTTGGGAGTAAGAATTTGTTGACCTTCTTTTTGACATTGGTCACTTGCACGGTCTTGTCACTTATATTTCGAAGGTCTGCACGTTGCACTATTGTGTCTGTTGAAGGGTCAAATCATACATTTTACCTCAATTCATCATTGGCTTTGGGACTTATTCTTTTTTATTACATATAGTTGACTTCAATACCGAACCAAAAAAAAAAGACCGTGTACATGTAAGAACGTCCGACCACGAATGACGTCGCTCTCGCCATACTTCGCACGCCCAGGGTAGAATCCAGGATATCATATCATTATTACTCAAGTAAAAATGTCAAAGTTGAATGTATCTAGGATGTTTATATAAAGATTCGAGGTAGAATGTATCTAGGATTGTATGTAAATTGTAAAGTGCTCAGTGTATATTTATATATTTCAATTTCAAAGAGTTGTAAAGGTTTAAAAATACTTGCTTATATAAATACATATAGGGCTCCAAAAGATAATCCCCTCTCAAGAGGGTATTCTCTTTTGAAATCCTATAGAATATCCGGAGCCAGAAGATGATAAGCAAGTACATGTAAACCTATATTTCATAGAAATAGAAAACCATGATTATTGTGGTGGAGCTTGCCACCAAACTCTCTTGCAAACTCCGAGTTGTATTTATGTTGCTAAATGAATGAATAAGATATTTTTTTTCTATGTATTCGCTTCATGCAAACATGATGTTAGATAGATTCATTTACATATTTTTTATAGCTCTGATTTAAATCTCTGAAGTAAAATCATTGACTATGCAGGATAGAGCCATCCTTTTTTACATTCATAAGGTGTTGATTATGCTTAGGAAATTAGCTGATAGCTCACTCCAGGCAATCATAAGCCAACATTGTACACCTCTCAGTGTCTTCTATTATTCCTAATAAATTATAAATCTATATTTTCTCCTAAAAATAATAATCCATCCTTAATCTTTTAAACTCAAATTTTTAATTAAATCTTCATACATTTGTAAAAGACCTAATCATCACTAAAGATAAATATAAGAGCTTATCCTCTTCTGAATAGAATTATAGAACCTAGAAACCCTCTATGTGCACCGTACTAAGAAGAGAATAATATAGATAAGGGCGTCAATATTTGACCCGACTCGACCCAAACCCAACCCGAAAAATTTCGGGTTCCGGTAAACCCGTTTGCCTAATGAAGGGTTCGGGTTTCATTTTCCGACTCGTTTATAAATTAGGGTCGGTCGGGTTGACCCAGAAACCCGAAACCAATCTGGTTGACCCAAAATCAATCCAGGAGCAATGTACGGGTCCATGCTTTGTTCCCTCCTCCGATGTTGTTCTAAACGGGTCCAAGCTTCTTCGCCTCCTCCCGTCATCCGACGTTGTTCTTGTCAGATCGAAGTTCTAAACGGTACCAAACTTATTTGCCATCACCACCCGTCCTCCGACGTTGTTCCTGTCAGATCGAACTTCTAAACGGTACCAAACTTATTTGCCATCTCCACCCGTCCTCCGACGTTGTTCCTGTCAGATCAAACTTCTGAACGGGTCCAAGCTTCTTCGCCTCTTCCTTTGACATTGTCCTAGTCCGATCTGAACAGGTCGTAGACTCTTCACCATCTCATCTTCCTCCAACATTGTTTCTATCTGATCAGAGTTCTGAATGGGTCCAAGCTTCTTCACCAGTTTACCCCCTCCTCCGATGTTTTTCCTGTCGGATCAGAGTTTTGAACGGGTCCAAGGTTCTTTGCCTCCTCCGACATTGTTTATGTTGCCTCAAATAGCCCCTGAACGCAGATCGGCAAATGTGGCTACTGAAATTCGGGTTGACTCGAGGTTGGCAAGTCGCGTTGGGTCAACCCGACAACTCGGCAGGATGGGTCCGATTTGAATTCCTGACCTGTTTGCAAAATCGGGTCATGTTATGGTCAACCCGTTTGGACCAAAGTCAATTCGGATTGGATCCAAACCCGACCCGTTGACTCGTTTTGACACCCCTAAATATAACATCATTATTTGAGAGTTTTTTCTAAGTTGAGGCCTATGATGTAATTAATCACTGGGGCTTATGCCCGTGGGAAACCAACACCCACATCAAATAAATCTCATTTAAGCTAATGTATCGAATGAGTGAAATCTCATGATTATCGAGCTATTCATATTATTACTCATCAAGATGTGTATGTGAAAATCGTTATTCTTCATGGATAATTATATACATGATTCCAGCTGCACTCCCATCATCCTGTTTGCGTAGAGCGTAAAAGCCTACGAACATTTTGTCCTATGGGATAATGTGATCGTATCTTTATATTCTAAATCCCACGAGCAGCATACTTTCGAAGACACATAGAGTTAATGTTGACGGCATGCATCGAATTGTAAGTGATGGCGTGGGTTGGAATTATTAATGATGATAAGTAATGAAGCCAGTAGGCATCAGAGTAGCCTGGTGATAATAATTAAAATTTTATAAGTCGGATGACTATAGTTTACGGACGACCTAGGTTAAAGGGCTGTAATAAGCAAGCGATGAAGGTCTGAAGGACCATAGTCGAGCAACGATGGTCTGAGGATCGTAGTCAATGGGCAACGAAGGTCGAAAGGACCATTATTAAGACAACAATGATCGGAGGGCCATAGTCGGGCGACGATGGCTAGAGGACTATAATCAGACTACGATGGCACGAGGATTGTAGTAGACCGGCGACAAAAATCAAAGGATCATAATCAGTAAGTGACGGAGGTCTGAAGGATTGTGGTCTGACGACTGGGTTAGAGGACCATGGTCAATGAAGGTCAGAATGACTGTAGTCGCATAATGGTGGTCAATATCGGGGGGGAGTCGTGTAATGAAGGTCAGAAGAATCGTAATTAGACAATATTGGTTTGAGGAGCGTGGTCGATGGGTGATAGAGGTTGGAAGGACCATACTCGGGTGATGAGAGTTGGAAGGACTGTAGTCAACAGGTAATGGGGGTCAGACAAAATATTGTCAGGAAATGATGGTTGGAGGATCATAGTCGAGTGACGTTTGTTCAAGGACCATAGTCGACGGACTATGGAGTTCTGAGGATTGTAGCCGACAGATGACGGTGGTCAAAAGGATCGTAGTCAGGAAACGATGGTCAGAGGACCGTAGCTGGGCGAAGGGCATCCAAAGGCTATAGTCAGTGGATGACAGAAGTTGAAGGACTGTAGTCGGTGATGGTGGATGGAGAACCGAAGCCTAATGATGAAGGTCAAGAACTGTAGTGATTGGCCGACAAAGGCTTGATGGAGATGGTGGGGCATCGGCCTGACAATGGTGCTCAGGAGATGCTCTGAAATCCTCAGTGTCAGTGTGAAACCCCTAAATTTTCTATTAAAAATTTTTAACCTAGAACAATCAATATTTATTTCTGGAGTCATAATAAGTTCAAATCACAAATCGTCTTCGCCGGAACATTTATAGTGTTATGTTTTAGCTTCCCTAAAATTTTCATAATTTTTTGGCACTGTCAAAATTTCTTACGAAATCGGCACCAATCAGTACAAGTGTGGGTTTTGGGACCGTCAAGTGTCCGTTTTGCAAACCGATTTCACTAAAATATTCTAAATAAAATAAGTTAATTTATGAATATTTTTTGTAATTTTTGGAATCCTTAAAATAATTTCTATGAATTTTCTACTGAAATTAATTATTATATATTATTTAGTAATAAAAAATAGAAAATATCTTAGAGCATTATAAGGTTTTATAAATGTCCTAAGCAGCTCACGGCTAACAAAGAGCATTTTAGGAAATAAGAGAGGAAAAGATAGGAGAGAGAAAACCAAAGTTCGATTTTGGGCAATTATAGGTCATTTTCTTCCGTCGGCTCAGTTGGGAAACTTGTTCATCTCGAGATAAGGCACATTATGTCCATCTCAATTTTCAAAAATATACAAGGTTTAATGAATATTTCGATTAAAATTTTGTATCCGTTAGCGAAAAATGAGATAACTTTGCACAAATAAAATTTTCACCGATTAACTTTTTGTATGTTGTAGAGATTACGATTATGCATATTTTGAATAGTTTCTGAAAATTTTACACCTGCAATTTTGAAATTTGCATGATTTTTATTGAATAGAAAATTATATAGATGTTAAAAAATAGTGTAGTACAATAAAAATCTTAAAAATTTGTTTTACACAATCCCCAGTAATTTGATAATTTTTTGAAAATGTACATTTTTTGCTTGTTGGATTTTCTTTTGTATATCGTTATACAATACTGTAAAATCTTGATACATACGTAATTACTCTTTAATGGTTATAATGTGATTATATATGTGCATATGTGAGTATATTATATACGTTGGGAGCTACACTTTGAGATTATATCTGTGTCAGGGAATTTCTGAGAGTTATAAGGGGCCAGAATCCTTTGAGATTCTGTCTGAGACAGGGATATGTGATATATTCTGATGTTATAAGCACAAATAAAAAGGAGAGTCATAAGGGACCAGAATCCTTTGAGATTTTGTCTAAGTCTGAGAAATGTGATATGAACTACTTTGTGATATGAATTTCAATTTATTTATTTGTTCTGTATTGTTATTTAAATCAAATAATAATTGTTATGCATTTATTACATTGCTTAGTTTAGTGATTTATTTAAACTATATTTAACTGTTTTTAAATATTTAAAAATTTAGATTGGTTCGTGTGGCTTGCTGAGCTGTTGTAGCTCACTATGATTTTACTTCTAGTTTTTAGGATCTTGGAAATGGAAAGAGGTTGCGGACTAGCAGTTCAAGATCATATCTGAGGTCATATGCATTTTCAGCTCTGTAGTTCTTGCCTGTAGCCATGTATTGTAGTATAGATATTTATTTTGATGAAATGAAAAAAAAAACTTTATGGATGAGTATCTTTTCAGTATTTTGATATTTTAGTAACTCTATAGTCTGTAGTTTATTTCAATGAATTTTAGCAAAAAAGAAAATCTAAAATAATTCCAAAACTAGATCTTGGAATTTTCTTGTCACAAATCAGAACGATAGCACCTATCCTGGTCTGGCTGGGTTGTGACAATCAGAGCTCTCTTGAATCTCAAAAGAGAGTTCAAATTGCATTTCCAATATTTTTTCTCTCCGTGTGGAGAGTGGGGACCTATTTATAGATTTTTGAGAGTGGCATGTCCCATAAATATAGCTTAAGTTTGAAAAGTCCAACAGATGGGCTATATTGATTCTCTTGATCATAAATAGTTCATTCAACATTTCAGTGCCTCATGATGTTGGAATTAAGTGATATTTGGCTTGTTGGATTTGTCTCTTCAAGCCACTCGATTCGACTATAAGCATGCTAAATTTGAAGCTCATTTAGTTATCCAATTAATGTCCTAAGATTTCCAATTATGTTTCAAGCCCTGATTTGGACTTACTCGGGCTCAAATTGTATAATTTTTTGCGTCGTTGAGTTTGTCTTGTCGAGACATTCACTCCAATTATAACTTTGCTGTAATCGAAGTTTGGATAGTCCTGAACTTAATTTTGAAAGTTTTCAATTCAAATATACCTCGAGATTCATGCCGATCAAGACGAATTTTCAGTGATTTATCAGCTATGTAGCCTGATCAAAAGGACTTGATGAATTCACCCCGCTAAGCACTTGAGAAGTCATTAGCATGCCTTGAGAAGTCGTTCCTTGAGTGGCCGCCATATATGACTTCATAGTTAGAAGTTGCTAAAGCTGATTGGTTAATTCATCCTGGCTCAACTGGGATGAGTTCTTAGATTATGCCCGTCTGCTTAAAGAAAGTTTTCTAGTGGACTGACGAGTCAATTTTTGGGTTGAGGCTGAATAAACCAAATTAACTTAGCTTAAACTATATTGATTTAGCATGAACTAGATAGGCTTAACTTGAACCAGTTTTTTGCATTATTTGGATGTAAGTAACTTACTCATTAACACATGTTTAATAGCTCTAATAATAAGTTGCAGTTGCTTGATAGGCAGCAACTCAATTACCTGTATTTTCTCTTAGAGCTAATTTCAATATCAGTATTTTTCGAATTTGCAATCTGCTTAAATTTTTATTTAAATATTATAATAAAACTTGCTGATTCTAACTTCAATTGGCAGTAAAAAAGGATTATTTAATTTCACTCTTTTAGTTTTCTCTTGGCTGCTGCATACCTATAATTTCTAGTGATATTAATTAAGACAATAAAAGTGCCTTTTTGGCTTCCGGTACATTCACAAGTGAAATTTAAAGGTCACAATGAAATAGGGATATGGAATAATAAAGAAATTCTCCTAATAAGCTCTCAATTAGAGCAATACCCTAGTTCGCAAATGCACCATAAAGCACAAATGATCACCAACACTTCCCAGTCACTTTGCTCCCATTAGGGACCCTCTACATAGGGATGAATATGGCATTGCCATGAAGATCCACAACATTACTCCAATACACAGAAACATGTTATAGTAACAGAATAATAGAATAACACAGATCAGCCAGAAGACTCAAAGTTTGACTGTCCCGTGTTCTCAAATCACCTTTGCATGCCGTTAATATTTTGCATAAATACACATATGTTAGCATAACAACAAGATCATGAACCGACACCAAGATTTTTTTTCTACTTAATCGGACTCACTTTAAGAAATCTACTGCAAGCACTAATTCAACACACTATAATAGGCGTAATTATGGAAGTGCATGGTTCCACATAATCTTATTAAGAAAAAAACAGAATTACAACAATGATTATACAGAAACAAGTGAGTACATTACCGAATGGAGAATAACTTGAAAGTACAATGATATGAGCAGATGCTCGCCTCACTGCATACCAAAGGGGGGAGTTGCTTTTGGAAGCTACATGAGGGGTTGCGTACCTATGAATATAAGCTCTAAAAGTAGAAAATTCTCCCTGTCCACATTTTATGTGATATAAATATTAGAATAAAAAGGAATCAGGAATAAAAAATACCTGAAAATAAGCAGTTGCACATAACAAGGAAAAGTTATTCAAAATTCAGTTTAATAAAACATCTCATTGATAAAAACAAGCGCAGGCAAACATGCATAAAAAATATCCTACACAACATAAAAAAGGAAAAAAAAATTCTGAAGAATTTTAAAAACATAAATTCAAAAAAACAAATATTCCTAAAATAGGAAGATTATTGTTTTTTAAGATGGACAACAAACAAGTTTAAGAAAAAAAACCAAACAGCTATCCAACAGAAACAATTCAAAAAATGCTGCAGTTTTGCATAGTCTTTCTTATTGGACCATTCCAAATTCTATTAAAAAGTAAAAGCAACGGCATGTGATGGAATTTCAGCCTTGCTTGAAATATGCATCGACCTTGCTACCAGGAGGGTATAAATAAACCATACTTTTGATCCGGTGGATTGCTGATCTGCATTAATGACAATGTTGTGCAGGCAAAACAAGAATAAAAGAATAAATTGTTCTCATTTCATGAGAACAATTAAGCCCTGATAACCATTTTCAACAAAAGAGTGGCACAGGATGGGGCCAACTATATTTATACTCGAAATCACAGAAATTTTTATCATTACATTTCAAATAAAAGAAGATTAGGCGTATAAGTTTAGGCCATGGACAGCTTTTCCTTGAAATCAGTGAAAAAAGGCTGAAAGTTGTGGGCTCCGAAAATTCGGCCCCGGCCTCCGCCCGCTTTTCTTTTTATTCGGCAAGGGAGTTTTAACTGATTAAGTTCCGAGGTAAATTTTGGAAGGCAGATGGGTTTGTAGATAAGACACTACCCAGAGATTTCGCCCTCATTTGGTGAGGACTTTATGATCTGAGTTCTGGTTTCCTATAGGCGCAAGCCCCTATAGTTAATTACCTCTCCCGATCACGAGAGAGAACTTTCGATTAAGGCTAGTCGCCGATCAGATACGTATAAATACGTGTTATCTGGCATATAGTAGCAGCATGAACATTGGTATTTGAAAATGTTGGAAGTTTGGGAATTTGGGAAATTCTATATTTAAAATAGAAATTTCACCATCTTGCACTTAAAGCTGATGGTGGGGGAATGGATGATGGGCCCGATCGAGATCCCATGGTTCCGTCGTCCCGGGCCATCGTGGTCCCTGGTCTACTTAGTCAAAGGAGGTAGTCGACCCAACCTGACAGAAAGATCCTTGTCGGCAGCCATGGGTTGCTTCGCCCAAGGGTACCTTGTAGACCTGGGGTGGGTATTTGCCTAAGCGGACAAATTTAAATTCACCTTAGCTAATAGAGGGCTTTGTGCCCTATCAATCATATCCTATTGATTCATATCTCAAGGATTTGATGCCAATAAGGAACATAACGGCTCTGGCCATAATCGGTATTTCGTGGTGCCATTTGGCGGCAAAACCACTCGGTTCAAAGGGCCCCGGGTCATATCCGTTTACCTGCAGTGCCATTTGGCGGCAAAACTGCCGGTTAGAGGACACGTACCACGTCCTTACTAGCAGGAGATTGTTTTGAGAATGGATCCTAGTGATATTTTCGACTAGGCATTTGGCTCTGTGTGAGCTGAAGTT